AGTTTTTATAACATTTTTTGCTTCACTATAGTCCAGTAAAAATCGAGAAAGTTTTCTTGTATTTCTAGTTGACTTTTCTTACGCCTAGCCCTTGTCACTCATTCACATGGTACTTGCTTGACCCCTGTAGGCACTGGGGCTGGCATCTCCAGGTTTAAATCAGTCAGCAGAGACCAGAGGGAGAAAGACAGATGTGTGTGTTCATTGAGGGGCATGTATGCACACACATTTATCACACACACACACACACATACCCCTTTTGAGTGGTGTCCCTTGTGACCTAACATGATTCCAAGTTTAAGCAGAGTTGGTTGGAGACATAGTATTACTGTGTTATCAGCCTCTGCCTCCACATGAACCCAGAAAGTGAGGGTTTAAAATGGAAAACCCCAAACAAATAACATTTGCCTTGAAAAGGCAAAAAAAATTGAGGTTTGGAGGTTGTCTCTTTTTTCAACGTTATTTTGTGTGCCAGGCCAGCACGGCCAAGGGTGACCCTGAGTAGGGGGCGGTGAAGGATTTAGAAAAAATAAACAAGAGAATAAAGCTGGGTCTGAGTGGGACGCTGCCCTCTCTGATGGAGAGACAGTGCCACGGACTACAAGCCGTGATTCCACGAGGTAAAGTAAGGGCGTGGTCAAGATGTTTACAATGTTCTCGTGGGTTTTGATCCTACTCAACTACATGCACCCGAACTCTATCAAGCCCACATCACTAAGGTACGTGGGGCCACGTGTTCGGACCATAGGTTCAAGCTTACAACTATAGCTGTTTGGCTATAATTGTGCTGGGAGGGCTCTGTCCTCCAAGCTGGGACTTGCACATGGCCATGAGAGGACTGTGCCCTCTCATTAGTCCGAGGCTTGAACCTGTCCAAACACTGTAGCCGCTCTCCACAATTATGAAATAATTCAAATTTATAGAAAAGTTGCAGAAATGAAAATAGTATGAAGAACATTTATATGCCTTTTAGCCAGAGTCTCATATTGCAACATTTTACCCCATGTTTTATTATTTGTTTGCTTTCTCTCCCTCTCTCTCTTTCATGTGTGTACAACATTACCTATAAGCGTATGAATGAATGAGTATATAACATGTATGTAAACATATATGCATAATTTCTTTCTGAACTATTTGAGGGCAAGTTGTACACATCAACATACTTTATGGAGTATTTTCTAAGAGGGATATTCTCTTAACATTACCAGGATTTAGTTACCAACTCCCGCAAACCGAACATTGATGCAATACTTTCACCGAATTTACCATTCATACTCCAATTTTGTCAGTTGACCCAAGATGTCCTCATTTTTTTTAAAGAGTAATGTGTGTGCTTTTGTTATTGTTTTTTAAACATATTTTTATTGATTTCAGAGAGGAGGGGAGAGGGAGAGACAGATAGAAACATCAATAATGAGAGAGAATCATTGATCGGCTACCTCCTGCACGCCCCCCACTGGGGATCAAGCCCACAACCCAGCACGTGACCTGGACCGGAATCGAACCTGGGACCCTTCAGTTCGCAGGCCGACGCTCTATCCACTGAGCCAAACCAGCTAGGGCCAAGATGTCCTCTTTTATAGCATATTTCCCCTGGAGGGTTGTCATTTGAGAGCATATATATATACCTGTGTTCTTAGTCTCTATTCATCATTGGAATTAGGGACCCAAAATTGTGAATACAGTGGGGCCTTGACTTACGAGTGTCCCGACTAACAAGTTTTTTGAGATACCAGCTGTCTCTCGGCCAATTTTTTGCATTGAGTTGATAGAGTAATTTGAGTTAACGAGCTCCTTAACGAGCTCGGTCTCGGAACGAATGAAACTCGTAAGTCAAGGCCCCACTGTACTTTCCAGGTTGGGGGACTTAATCTGACTAGAATGCAAAAAGGCCGAGGATCCTGTCCTGGTACCCCCTCAGGAAGCAATGGAGAGAAGGCTTCAATACGAGTGAAGGGAGGCTGCAGGAGGGGGAGACCAGCCTCCAGGTGGTGGCCTGCTCAAGGCACCCAGCCCAGTGGAGCCTGATGCTTGTCCTCAGACACCAGGGAAATGACCCAGCCCGGCAGCTCCTGTCCCTGGAAGGTTGGCTGCAGGCACAGCTGGGTCCCGCCAGCTCAGAGGCTCACTTCCTGGGGAAGAGATCCAGGATGAACTGGTTTACAGAGGGGATGGGGGACCAGCTCCTGGTGCACCCCGGATATCAGAGCTGGGGACCTGCATCAACCAGGCTTGCCTGAGACCTAACTGATAGTGTTCACAGACTATATGAGATTTGGGATCTTGGGTTGTCTTCAAACAATGCAGGATGGCCGGCAGGAAAAGCTCAGCCTCCTCGATTTATAGACAGGCAGCTGAGGCTCCGAGTGGGTGAGTGGCCTGCCCAGGCCACCCATCCAGTAGAGGAGTCTTCAGGATTCAAACCCGGGTCCATGTGACTCCAAAGTCCACGGGGTTTTTGTTTTTTGTTTTCCTTTTCTAAGTAGCCACTGTGCCTGACCTGGTGTGCAGCCTCAGCTCATCTGCTTGTGTGTGGCTCCCTGGGGCTAGCCCATCGGTGACAGGAAGGGACAGCAGGGTTCAGCCTGCCTTCTGTTGACTGGACCATTCATGGGGTGCACTGAATCAACTCCTGAGGCCCCTGGATTCCTTCTTTACTCGGCAGTGTGTGTGGGGACCAGGGTGGCTTGACCACCCGTCACTCACATGACTGGGGAAATGACTGAAGGAGTGGGCTGGTTTCAGCGGTCCTGGTGAGGCGGTGTCTATAGATGGGAACACTTTGGAGTGCTGTGGTCACAGAGATAGGGAAGGGCCCAGCCCAGGAGCTGGGGCCTGGAACTGGTGGGTGCCTGTGAGTTCTCGGGGTGAAGGAGCCCTGCATCTGACCCGAGGCCCTGTATTCCCATCCAGGGTGGGCAGAGGAAAGAGCTGCTTACTCCTCCAACCCAGGAAACGGAAGGGGGGCTGGGGGAGGGGGGGCTCTGGAAGTTGTCCCACATCACACTCCCTCCTCTGAGCACCCCTCAACCACGGCACCGCCCACCAGGACTGACGCACAGATCACGAGCTCTGCGGAGTCCTGTGGGGCTTTGGAATCAGCAAAAGGAAAGCCTGGCTCCACCTCCCACCTCTGCCACCTACTTGCCCAATTACCTTAAACAAATCACCCACATTTTCTGAGCCTTGGTTTCCTCATCCGTAAAGTACCTACCTGACAGAGTTGTTCTCAGAACTAGACACAGTGTGAAGAGCTCAGCACTATGCTTGGACCCAAGAAAGCTGGCTGCACAGACAGTGCGGGCTAGCTCAGACCCTGGCGCCTACCTCACGCCCCACTGGCAGCTTTAGTCAGCTTTCCTGTGATGGCAGAGACCTGCGGGGTTGCCCTCCTGATCGGGCACACCCACCACCGGGTCCTCCACACTGGCAGGTGGCTGTGGGGCCAGCACAACACCAACTTGAGGGAATCAGAAATACAGGAAAATGTGGGGGAAAGGACTTTACTTTGAAAAAATAAAGAAAGAAAGAAACTGCTCTGGCTGATGTTGCTCAGGGGTTACAGCATCGCCCTCAAACCAAAGGGTCATGGATTTGATCCCCAGTCAAAGGCATGTACCTGGGTTGCAGGTTCGATCCCTGCCCAGGTCGGAGCGCATGCAAGAGGCAACCAATCGATGTTTCTCTCTCTCTCTCTCTCTCTCTGCTCTTGCTCTCACTCTCGCTCTCTCCCCCTTCCTCCCTCCCTTCCACCCTCTCTAAAAATCAATGGAAAAAATATTGTAGCCCTAACCGGTTTGGCTCAGTGGATAGAGCGTCAGCCTGTGGACTGAAAGGTCCCAGGTTTGATTCCGGTCAAGGGCATGTACCTTGGTTGTGGGCACATCCCCAGTAGGAGGTGTGCAGGAGGCAGCTGATCAATGTCTCTCATCAATGTTTCTAACTCTCTATCCCTCTCCCTTCCTCTCTGTAAAAAATCAATAAAATATATTTTAAAAAATATTGTAGGGTGAGGATTAACCAAAAAAAAAAAAAGAAAGAAAGAGAAAAGAAAGGGAAAAAAATGAAACTAAAAATTATGAAAATAAATATTTTACCTTATACTGTATTTAATTTTTTTAAGTTATAATTGCACTGAACAACCAAAAAGGTTGGGGCTGCCTGTGGTTAATTATTCCACAGCTTTGTATGACTTTTTCAGCAAACAAGGGTCTGCAAAAAGCAAACGGAGTTAAGGGCCCAGTGGTTTTCTCAAGGCCTCTATCGTTTAATAGTCAATTGTTCTCTTTTGAAGCACCTATCCCCTTGCTAATTTTCTCTGATCTCTAAGGGTGGCAGCCTTTTCTAACCTCAGGTAGCCACTCCCCCACAGGTGCAGCTCTTCATGCTACCCATGGCCTTCATGAAAAACTCGGACAGGGCTGTGACCTCCGCTGGGGGGTTGTGGGGGAAGTTGCAGACGCCGAGGTCCGGTTGCATAGTGCCCTGGCCTCGGCCCAGATTTGCAAGATTTGCAGCTCCAATGTGCACCTTAGAGTCTTCGCATTTTGGGAAAGACCCACCAGCAAAGCTTTTGAGGCCGTGGGCTAGCAACAATGCTGGGGTCAGTGGCTAGGAGCTGTTCATCTGAATATTTGCTAACTGAGTAGGTGCCTCCTCCCTCTACCTAAAGTGCAAATGTTTTGTCAACTAAGGCGCACACACGAAGTCACTCACTGCCCTGACTCCCCTCCCTGCGCACTGTGCCCAGCCCTTCTTCGGGGCTGTTCTGTGGTGGAGCCAGAGTTCTAGCAAACGGCTGACTAAACAAACGGCCAGCGGGAGCCACGAGTTCCCTTTGCATCTGGCCTTGTGCAAACCTGATCTTGGCCAAGGCCAGGGCAGTATGCAACCGGACCTCGGCTTCTGCAACTTCCCCGAACCCTCCCCCCGCCCAGCAGAGGTCAGCGCCCTGTCCGATTTCTAGCCCAGCACCCCCTCGAGTCTCTGCGGAGCCACTGTCCACTCTAAGCAACATTTATTGAGGGTGGCGGAGAGCGAGGTGGGGCGGGGCCCGGAGTGCCTTAGGTAACCAGACCTCGGGCTCTCATCACATAGAGACAGGGATCCCGGCGGAGGGCACAGAGTGCCATCGAGGGTGGAGCCCGGCCTCAGACAGGGGACGCCAGCTTCCGCTTCGTGCTGTCGCTGCAGCGGTGCAGGATGAGGTCTGCGCTGGGCCGCGGGGGCACCGCCGGCTGCGG